GTATGATATTGGTTTGTTAACTTGTGCTGATTGTTTTTTTTTTATATTGAAAGTTCTGTGGGTTTTTATCATTGAGAAGCTGAAATCACAAACGTTTGAACATAAATCGTAATGCTGCCAAGGTGTTTGTTTGAATGCGTATGCATGACATGATGTATTTTTGTTAATTTGAGAAGCATAAAATCGTGATCGCTTAAATGTTTGTAATTGCCTACATGGTGCTGTTTAAATGCTTGTGTGTATACTGATTTGTTTATCTTGTGGGATTATGTTTGATATGGTATATTCAATAATTTTACCTTTTCATATATGCTTGTGAGAGAATTTATAGTTTTAGAGAATCTCGACTTGGTTTGTAACTTGAACATCGAATGAATCAATGGTTGGTACACCACAGTGGGTGCTATGTTGATTGAATCTATTCTTGAGGTTGTGCACAAGTAACCTGAAAATTGCTATTGCCTAAAGGTGTTCTCGAAATGTTTGTACATATTATAAACTTGTGGAATTGGTTCAACTATCAGCCTATCACAACTTCTAATGTTTATTGATTTCATTTGCCTGTGGTTTTATTTTTTTTGGGTATATACATAATCATACATGCACCATTGTTGCTTATATGTGTGACTATACGCAGGGTTTCAGGTGTGTCATTCCCTGGGAGGAGGGACTGGGTCTGGAATGGGGACACTTCTCATTTCAAAGATTCGAGAGGAATACCCAGATAGGATGATGCTGACATTCTCTGTCTTCCCATCGCCAAAGGTTTCAGACACAGTTGTAGAGCCTTACAATGCTACATTGTCTGTTCATCAGCTTGTAGAGAATGCAGATGAGTGCATGGTTCTTGACAATGAGGCTTTATATGACATTTGTTTCCGAACCCTCAAGCTTACAACTCCTAGCTGTAAGTATTCTCTATTCATATTCAATGACATAACTCATATACTTATGTGTCTAGTTCAACAAGCAAAGATTTTGAGCTGTGGTGACAGAGTCTTCTAAAATGTTTGATGTTAGATAATTGAAACTAATATTCTGATTAGCGCCAGTGGCCTCCCATTTTTGCAGCCATTTCATTTTCTCTTTTCAGTTTCATTTTCTTAAAGCTTATCTTAATCAAACTTCATGAAATGTGTTTCATCAACTGTATAGTTATTAAAACTTTTCCTCAATTTTCATTCGTAGTCTAACTTTATATAGTGAATTTTTGCTTAGCTGACCATAACTCATTTGGGATTGAGGGTTGGTTGGTTGTGCTTGCTTAGCAATAAATTAATATGAATATGCTTCATGCTGAGGATCACTTATTCTGCATCTTAGAAAGTTATTCCTTTGCTGATGGTACTTTTATTTTCTAACAGTTGGTGATTTGAATCACTTAATATCTGCAACCATGTCCGGAGTTACTTGTTGTCTCAGATTCCCTGGACAGCTTAACTCTGATCTGAGGAAACTTGCTGTGAATCTCATTCCTTTCCCCCGTCTCCACTTCTTCATGGTTGGGTTTGTTCCACTTACCTCACGTGGTTCACAACAGTACCGCGCTTTATCTGTTCCTGAGCTTACTCAACAAATGTGGGATGCAAAGAACATGATGTGTGCTGCTGACCCTAGGCATGGCCGCTATTTGACAGCATCAGCAATGTTTAGGGGGAAAATGAGCACCAAGGAAGTTGATGAGCAGATGCTTAATGTGCAGAACAAAAATTCTTCATACTTCGTTGAGTGGATCCCCAACAACGTTAAGTCAACAGTCTGTGATATTCCACCAACTGGTCTAAAGATGGCATCGACTTTCATTGGAAATTCAACCTCAATACAAGAGATGTTCCGTCGTGTCAGTGAGCAATTCACAGCCATGTTTAGGAGGAAGGCTTTCTTGCATTGGTACACAGGGGAAGGAATGGATGAGATGGAGTTCACTGAGGCAGAGAGCAACATGAATGATCTGGTCTCTGAGTACCAACAGTACCAAGATGCAGTAGCAGATGAGGATGAAGGATACGAGGACGAAGATGAAGCATATCATGACTAGTATGCTTATGCCGGGAAATCTTATCTTATATTTTAAAAGTAATAGTTCGTTTCAACTGTGCATGAACTTTTTAGTAGTGAAGAGAAAGCGACTAACCTGTATTTTTGTCGAACTTGTCACTACCCCTTAATTGCATATTGAATATTTGTTGCTTTTGCTAAGCAATCTGTGATTGAGTAATGATAAAACATGCTGTAGTTGGTATATACTCATACTACTTACATTATGTCCAGTAAAATGAACCTGTGCTTATTACTACAGCAGCAAATACCTATGATATTGGATGCAGAAACCATAGCTTTTAGTATCTTGTTATTAGCATTTAGATTTTAAAAAAAAACATTTCTTTCAAATTGTGTAATGCTGGCTTGAAATATTGCTGGCCTAGGATCTCAACCCTCAAAACCTGGCTATTAAAATGTTGATTGCAAATTAAACATAAAAATCTGAGCAGCTTGTTATAAACACAGAGAGAAATATTAAGAACGCTACCTAAACTCTGTGTGAATTATTAGTTTCATTCCTAAACTATTGACAATCTTAAAAACACTCAGATCCCTTGACTAGCTGAATTTTAACACGTCCTTGATTTTGCAACATGAGTGAAATATATCCCTAGATTCTCTTCAGGCTTAGGGGTGTTTAAAACACTTCTCTCAGCTTTTCGTTTAGGAACTTTGTACTTTTACAAGGGTTTGAAACTACTTGTTATATCATGTAGCAGATCCAGTGTGTATCTAAGTTTACTTATTCAATTATAGAGGTGTTTTTGAGGTTGTCAATAGTTCAGGAACAAAATTAATAATTGTGTTCCCTTGTTGGATAAACACCATCTACGCTATGCTTATCTTTCTTTCTTTCTTAACCAGAGGTCTTAAGTTCGAGCATGATAAATATCTTTAGGTAGATAGTGTTTTACTCCCAAAGTGAAACTTCCCAATATATTGGATTATACGACTACGTCCCAAAACAGGTATCGAAACAGTTGCGAAAATCGATTGAGTGCACAAGTGTACAAGTTACAACTAGTCATGGCTTTGGTTTCTATGTCAAAATTAACAATTGGTTACTGAGCAATCCCTATCCATGGAGCTTGATTCTTCTAAGAAAAAATTAAAAATTAAATATATATATATATATATATATATATATATATATATATATATATATATATATATATATATA